GAGCACGACATTGGTGGGGAAAATAAATGCACGGGAGCTGTTATCTTGAACCGTTATTTTAAACATAGTTGTCTATTTCAGTTCAAACAGGTTCGAACACCACGCATCTACCACAAACCGAACACGACGCCTAAACATCAACCTATCTGCATGTGAATTACCTGTTGGTACTTGGCCGTGTGAGGAACAGTGCAGTGGCTGAATCTCCGACTGCCACGATGGACAGACCACATAGCCTGACGAAATGTTTGACCCATGTAGAAGTAATGGCAAGCCCACATCGTGGTTAAATCCAAAGACATCCGCTCTGTGTCTTAGATAGGAAAATAAACAAAAGGTGAGACGAACGACCTAACCAAAAGATCCAGAGTCCGAATCTAGGAGGGCTTTCTATCTGTCGCCTGTTCGTAAATGCCCGGATCGAGGTTCGTAAATAAAATATTTAACGACAGAATATAACGTGGATGGAGCCGTCCTGGACGAACTGTGTCAATGGATTAGTTCTGCATGAATCGGATGAGCAGGTAGCCGGAGGCCAGTATGATGACATGATCCGATTTCATCCGATAAACGACGGGCCGCTCGATACAGAAGAGACGAAGACAGGAGTATTAAAGACCATCCATGTTGGAAAGAAGGTGGGAAAATATACACGCCTGAGATACTCGAAGGTGATTTTAATTGCCACCGACAAGGTTCCTGCTCTCAGGCTGCGGAAGACGTAGGCTGTGAAACACATCATGAGCAATCCACCTCCGACATTTTTCATGCGTAGCGTGATTATAAGCGAGCTGATGCGGCACAATTAAGGACACAACTGTGGAAGGCGATCTCTGCATCCTAGATTTTTGCTTGACGAACAGGGAGCTGACACAATGACCAGCCAGCGTGTGGGTTTCGCGGCCAGTCGTCCACCCTGAATTTTGCCAATGCGATCGTGTGGATGTTGTTGATGGTCACAGGAATTTGGGGAATGGGTTGGTGTTATGTGCGCTTATGTTAGCCTAACCGAGGCATGGCAGGTAGGTGAGATCGCTGACTAAAAAGTTGCACTGCTGGTTTCCTACTGCTGAATATGCAACGGAAAGTCGGGAAAGGATGAAGTTTTTGAGTGAAATCTGGAAAAACCGCATGCTCTGCGACTCATGAAGGTTAATCTGACGCGGTCCCAGGCGTATCGCCAGACAGCTTCTGTTATAGTCCGCAAAACACTAGCCGGATTGGACTATTCCAGAAATTCACGCAACTCTGGGACACTGCACTAACAATAATTCCTCAGATTAGTTTTCTTTTTGAAACCTCTCAGCTAGCCTTCCCGTCTGAACTCCACAAAAGGAAAAAGCACTGGTACAGCATGTCATTTATAAAGCATACACGAGGACAACGTTTTGTAGGGGCCCATTAACTGCACAATGCTCTTGGCTGCAAAACCTTTGGGCCAAACATATTGCGCCAAAATGTTGCGTTTTATTGCGTGCGCGCTGAAACCAAGAATCATCCTAATCCACTTTCGAATTTCTGCAGCTCACCAAATTTCGTTGTCCTCCGAAGCAATCATACCCCTGGCGAAAAAGTGTGATGGAATAATTTCCCAGCATCACTGAGACCCCGGAACGCCTAAATGGGGCTCAAAAGTTTGGACTGGTACTCTGAACCCAATCGCCTGATTGCTCTAGTCCCTCAGGGACACGTCACTGCTTTCGAAATTTCAATTCCATTATGCGAATACTGACAGCCTATTCTGTAAATCCCGACGCTTTCTGAGTGCGGCATTGAAAACCGGCACTTGGCGATGCCGAACCACCAATGGCTGTTGAGTCCACGACCTTGGCCAATCAGAGTTCGATTTGGTACTGAACCTACACAACAGCCGCACTCCGGCCAATTGCATGCGGGATAGGCTCCCTGGTTGTAGCAGTGCCTACGCATGAGCGATGAAGTGGCTTCGGTGCGGATTCCACCTAACACTCCTTAAGGACTTGCTTCTCTCGGGAAACCCTATTCCAGCTACCAATCCACACATGTTTTACTGCTAATCATCAGCATCGCCAGATGAGATCACTGGTGATTCGCTGCTGTGCAAACGATGCAACAATGGACAGTGATTCCCTGAAGGTGGGGGTTCACGACAATTCCTCTGGATGGAAAACCGAGTAAGCTCATTAACCGAGGTCCGGCAAGCTGCTGTAAGCTCCAGTAAGTGCTGTACATATACAGCACCAATAGTTAAACATAAATAATCTGGGCAGTTAGCTCAACCACCGTACCCGCATCTTGAATTCTCGTCTCTGATTCACACCACTTATCGATGTCAGGCGAGTCCATTATGAAAGTGAGAGCAGAATGTCTTGCTTGCTTCAGGGTGCGAACATGGAAAGCGGCCAGGCAGAATGGGCTTCGAAGTTTGCCGATTGATTTCGAGATGTCTGGGGATGTCAGCGCAGGATGACGTGCATATGTTGCCTGCAAAACCAATGCATAATAAACGGAGTCACCACTGCTAAATGTTGGGTGAACAAAGAGTTATTACTGGAGTGGGCGAGGTGGAAGAATAAGTGTATGAAAGAGGAAGAAGAAAAGCGTCAGCGGTAGCCTGTTTTCGCCTACCCATCCTGTTGAATTTAGCCGGTAAAGTGTCCCTGCTAATGGCGTCACGCGTACGTACGTACACCTAGTCGTGGCTGTCCTTGAAGCTGGAAATGTATTCAACGCCCTCTGGCCAGCATTTCTGGTGTGTAAAAGCTTGCAGCGAGCTGTCCAGAAGTTCCCTCACAACTGACAGGCTTCAGCAAGGTTGTCCTCTCATTCCCTTCTTGGTCGATTTTGTTGGTATTACCATGGAATACATACTTCCAGGGATTGGGGCTCTCGGTGCCGGAATAACATCTAGACTTCTACCCAGTTAGCACCGGTGGAGAAATTTCTGCAGCACATCTGCATCCGGGTGCCGAACCAGTACGGAAATGAAACAAGTTTCTCTACCCAGTCCGCACCCGGGTGTAGAAATGGTGCACTAAGACAAAACCACTTAAATCGATCGATGGTTTACACTCTGTAGAGACCCAGAAATGCAGGGTTTTGTGTTTTATCACTGCGAGACAAATAAAGAAGCCTTGATGCCTCTTAAACGTCTCGATCTCCCACAGCTCAAAAGCCGAACATTAGTGCAGAATTTCTGCACAGGTTCTGCACCCAGGCGCGGACGCGTGCTAACTGGCTACAATGCGGGGGACATATTATTACCTGTAGACCATCATTCCGCATCGTCTGTTCTTGTTACGGTTCGATCACGCTGCGAG